TTAACCATGAGGAGTACACACACACAGTTATTTAAAAACCATAACACAAACAAGGTTTAAATTCAGACTTCAAGTCACACCACTTTATACCCATCAGTGCTTTTAAGCCTTGATTGTTTGGAATTGAGGAAATGTGCAATACTGTTTATGACAGGCACATGACAAGAAATCAGCACTATTATTCTAGATTATGCATCTATTACACCCAACAAGATCACACAGGAAACAAATGAAACAGGAAACTCATCAGATCCAAACTTGGTGTTTACAATCAAGTCACTGTCTTTAACCGAAGTGGAGATTTTCTGTTTCACTGCTTTTGCTCAGAGATCTTGCAGTAAAATGGTCTCCTGGTTGCTCTTTGTGATAAAATGTAATTTCAGCACCCTAAACCTATGCATTCCTAATCCCTCGCTCTGCCCACCATTATGATTATGGATTGCTACGTGTAATTAACAGCCATCACTGTATCCAAGCACCATTCGGGTGATCATGCTCCATTTACGTCAACAGAAGGATCAGGCTCTGCACACATAACCAAGCCTGGCACTGAATTCTGTACAAAATTTAATCCAAACTCTCCACCACTCCCTCGTTTCAGCCAAACATACAAACAGGGTCAACTTGGCTGGTTGCCTTCCACGTCCCATCTGTAGTAGCCCAGCTTGGAGAGCGATGCAGGGGTGGGAGCCAAGCCCTTGGGTGAGTCACGTCCCCCGTGTGCTTCAGTGAAGTGGGGATAAAGATCCTCTCCAGCTAACCTGCACAGTGCTGTTGTGTCTGCACAGTGCTTTGCCACTTCTGGGCAGACCTACAGACCTTGCACTGCACCCTCAAAGTAGTTAGACTGACTCACCTTGATCTCCATTGGCAGAAAACTCTGCAGCCTTCAACAGAGACTGCCCGGCCCCCTACCCCAAAGAGTTCCACCTTGGGAGCCACTCCAGCTGCAGCACACCTGTCAATTCTCTCTGCCAGGGCTGGACGTGGGGGACAGCATAGACCTAGCTCGTTCAGGGCTTTAAAGATCAGGCGCAATATCCTGAAAATCTCTTGACTCACAAGCCTGGCAAAGCAGGAATGGGCACGGTGCGTGATGTCATCTCAGCAGTGTGCACCCTCCCCCCCCGCTCCCCGGGAGTCACCTCATGTCCCATGCTATAGCACTCCCTCGGCTCTAAACTCATTCTAAACCAATATTGCTAAAGGCCCTGTCCACACTGCAAAAATAACCAGGTGTGGGGAGGGTTGGGGCAGAACCGTTTTATACCACATCTTTGCCCTTGCCTCTGTGACCGAAGAGCCTGTTATAGTACTAGAGAACCATATTTTAGCCTAGGAATCTACCTGAGTTAAGAGATGGCAACAGCCTGTATTTTCCAGTCTATACACGGATTAAAATCTGCCACAGCCATGTCATACAGCTTTGTCTACACATGGGAAGGTAGCATAGATCCTGTTATACTGCTCCTATTACTGGAAAGCTCAAGTAACACATTAGTTACCTTGCTTAAAGCACCAGGGTCCGAGCCCTATTGCTTTGCAGTGTAGATGCAGCACCACTTGATGTGGGCCCCAGGAGTCAGCTGGAAGTATCCCACAATTCCATGGGACAACTTCCTTAGTCCTCTATCCCAACAATCTGCAATTCACTCTATTGAAAAGGAAAGCCCCTACGCTTTGCAAATGCTAGCGGCTCAGGACTCAGCGTTACCCCATTCTCTTCTAATCTCTAATCTGCAAGCACGCTGTCAGAGAGCCTCCGGGGTTCGCAATGGAGAGCGAATTGATCAAGCCTTTTGCAAAGCGAGCTCCTTCCTGGTACATGCAGGGTGGGCAGTAAACTTTTCTCACAGTGCACCACAGTCCTAGGGCTAGAGCAGACACATTTTGGCGGGGAGGGGGAGGGGGGAAGGGGAGGGGAGGGGAGGAGAGGAGAAAGGGGACACTAGGGACTCTGGGACATGGTTACTTTGACTCGGGTCTGCATGTGGATGCCATAGCATGGGTTAGAAAAGACTTACCATGAGGTTAAAATACAACGTAGACACAAACCCAGAGTTCCCTTACACAGGTTAGCTGGCTCGAGTCCCACTAACCCTGAGCTTAAATTGCAGTGTAGACGTATCCAAAGAGGCCACAGCACAGCTAAATTTCTGACATCAGCTGGACATACAGCCCAGACTCACCACCACTGTATCTTCTACACATTTACACAATGCTGGAACCCATGGATTATTCCCGATCCTTATCAAGTTACTATCTTTATAAGCCCTCTTCCCCTCCAAAATGTACACCAAGAGCCCCATCCAAGGCATTTCCTCTTTCCTGCCAACGGCATCATTGGGTAGATATTTATGATGCTGGTGAAAACTATTTATGTGCCACTTGGCTCCTCTCCATTCTTAAAGCACTGTTTGGGAGGTGTCTGGCTCCCCCTAGCGGTGAGCTAAGAAAGTCTTGAAACGATAAAACATTTTAACAGACAACTTGAAAGCTAGAAGCATTTTCAGAGCTATCAAGTTCTGATGCAAGATGCATGTCTTTGCGATCGAGAAGGGGTGGCCACATACCAAAATAGAGCTGGAAAATATCTGAGCACACAGGGGGAATTAAAAGTCAAACACACACCGTGAAATTTCCTCCCTTTTCCCTCTACAGCACTTAAGAATAATAGCTGCTTTAAAATCAGTCAGCAAGCTTCTCCATGGAAACCAATGCTGATTACTAACAATGAGCATTCCTCACCTCCCTCCACACCTCATGGACTGGATTTGGCAAATGTAACTTTTCCAAGAATGTTTCTATTTGTCACAGGTCAAAGGCTTGTGACGCACATGCATCACACATAGAATACTAGCTTTCTGCACTGTCTACTGGAGAATTTTAAACAGTGGATTTATGGTAAAGTAGACATTTTAAAAATACCATAATTAAAGATGTAGATAATGGGAAGGAAAACCTGCTGAAGGAGGCAGAGAGGGCTCAGAGCAAAGCCATGTGATCACATACCAAACTGGTCGATGCTTCGTAAATATCCTATCAGTGTTCTACCATCTCGAAGGAGGACCAAGTGTTTCTCTGGAAGAGATGTTAAATCAGCATTAGTGGTTACAGAAAATATCAAACATTGGTTACAATTAATACATAGGCCAAATTCAAAAGAGAGCAACTAAAATGCTGAACAAGAATGTTTTAATCAGCATTAAATAGCATTAGTTGTATTGTGGTAGTGCTTCGGAGCCTGTCACAGACCTATGCCCCATCATGCTGCGTGCTGAACAGACACGTAAGGGCTCTGCTCTGAAGATTTTACAATAGTTTTTATAGCCGGATTTTCTGAGCTGCTGGGCATATGCAGCGGCCACTGAAATCAAGGGGAGTTGCCTGCAGGTGAGACACTGCTGAAAAAACAGGCCATTCGTTTGTAAGTGCCATCCAGATTTGAAATGAAGATATCGAGACCCTCTACAAACTCACAGCACTAGAGATTTGGAAACACCAACACCAGGAGATGATTGAAAACGTACATTTATGAAGCACCTGGCAGCACCCTGGAGGATGCTGAAGCCCTTCACAAACTACACACAGCACCACGGAAAGGCAGCCAAGGTGAGATGGAGCGTGGCAGCGGAGAGAGAGGGAAATATAGGATTTCCCAAAAGAAAGGGAGACTCAGCCTGCTCAGTTAACGCTGAGATAATCATTATTAACCTGAACGGACAGAAGAGCCGGGCTAATGGGAGAACCCCGTTATAGCGAGAGCAATGGGGGCAGGGGAGTCAACCCCTAAGAGAGAGAGACGGGGAAGCCTGTTACCCCCAGCCCAGCGCACTCTGGCTGACGGCAGTGCTCCAGGGAGGAGCCGAGGGGTCTCCCTCAGTCTCAAGAACTTTGCAACCTGCAGCCTTTCAAAAACGGACGTGAAATTACAGAGCCCGGGTCGGGGGAGGGAATCCGGGAGCTGCAGCGGGGCCGGCTCCGGGGGGTGTGAGGCTCGGGAACTGCAGCGGGGCGGGGCCCGGCCGGGGGGGTCTGGGGCCGGCTGCGGGGCCCGGCCGGGGAGGGGGCGAGGTCTGGGGCCGGCTGCGGGGCTATAGCGGGGCTGGGCCCCAAGGGGGACGGTCCGGGGCCTGCAGCGGGGCCGGGCCGGATGTGGGGCCCGAGGGGTGGAGGGGTCCGCGGCCCAGGGAGGCGCCCCCCCGGCCGGGCGCCACTCACTATCGATGTCCTGGATGAGGCTGGCGGTGCCCGGCATGTAATTCATCCTGCGGCCCCAGCCCGGCAGGTCCCGCCCCGCTCCCACCGCCCACCACACGGAGCGGAAGCGCCGCCATCTGCCCCCGGATGGACCCGCCTCGCCCCGCCCCGCCCCACGTGCCGCCCGCGGGGAGCCCCGCCCCGTGGGGTCACCGGCCCCCGCCGCAGGGCCAGAGGCTACGTGAGGGGCCGGGGTGATGGGGCTGGGGGCCCCCCCTCACCCACAGCCCCGCCCAGCGCTCCCCGGGTGGGGCGGGGGGGGGCTGTGCTTAGTTAATGCAGGAGACTCGATGAGGGCATTGTGTGCCTGTCTCTTTAAGAAACAGTGTCAAGTATCAGAGGGGTAGCCGTGTTAGTCTGAATCTGTAAAAAGCAACAGAAGGTCCTGTGGCACCTTTGAGACTAACAGAAGTATTGGAGCATAAGCTTTCGTGGGTAAGAACCTCACTTCTTCAGATGCAAGAGAAACGGGTGTCTTGTGCACCGCCCCGGGTTTCCACTGATTGGTGGATCGGGAGGTGATGGAAGGAAAGTTGACTGACTGATTGGCTAAAATTTAGTTTGCGTCATTAGATGCGGAACGCTAAGGCTGATTGGCTGATATGCACGGCATGGGCGGTACCATCTCAGTGATTGGCTAAGGCTGCAGGGGCTGTAGCGTTGAGATGGCACCTTCAGGGCCATTGGCTGAGCTGGTCACGATGCGGGTAAAGGTTGTATCCCTGGTGGGGATTGGCTGCAGCGGGCGGGCTTCGCGCAGGCGCGGTGGCGTGGCAGCGAGCCGGCAGCGGCGCTGGTAATGTCTGCCCTGCGGCGGCTGTTCTACGGCCCCGAGGCGGAGCGGGCTCGGCCGGAGCCGGAGCCGCCCCCGGGTCCCTGGGGCATGGAAGCCCGGGCGTGCCCGCAGCACCGCGCGGCCGGGCCGGCCTGGCCCGGGGGCAGCTACTGCCCCGTGGGGGGGAGCGGCTGGGACAGGCCCGGCCGGGGCGGCGGCCCCCAGGTAACTGGGACCCCCTGGGGGGCTGGAGCGAGACCTGTGGGGGGTGGCTCTGCTCCGAGGCTAGAGCGAGATCTGGGGGTGGGCCTGCCCCAGGGGGTGGTGGGGGTGGAGCGAGATCTGGGGGGGGGTGGCTCTGCCCCGGTGCCTGTGGGGGTGC